ATCTGGGCGCTGCACAACTGGAGTGCATGGCTCACCCCTTTCTCGCGCAGCGCCACTCGCCGCTTCGACACGGCCTTCTTCCTGTGCTGCCTGCGCGAGCCACCGCCCGTCTACCCCGACTTGGCGGAGGTGGTGGGCTACCAGGTAGGGCCTGCTCATGGCCTTGCTGGGGACCACAGGGATGTGAGAGGGAGGACCCCTCCTGGTGGCCCAGGCCTCCCAGGGACACTTGCATAGGCGGAGCCCAGGGACAGTAGCCAGGAACGCTTGGACGGGCAGGAAACCCTCACACCTGCAGACTAAAGCCATGCTCTTGGTGCAGCTCTGCTTTCCTAGGCTTTGGGGTCTCAAGGCCTCCAGCCTGTCTCTCCACGTAGTTCCTCCAGCGGAGAACCCCTGTCCTAAGCACTTGTACATGTGTATAAGTAGTTCATCTCCACAGCCGTTTAATTTGGTTTTCTTCGAGAACAGACTTAGTATGATTTCAGTCTTCCTATTTTTATTTATTTTTGGTACAGATGGGGGTCTTGTCTCTCTGTGTTGCACACCCAGGCTGGTCTCCAGCTCCTGGTGTGTCCAGAATTGGTTGCTTCCCGTGGGTTCTTGGTCTCGCTGACTCTAAGAATAAAGCTGGGGACCCTCACAGTGAGTGTTACAGTTCTTGAAGATGGTGTGTCTAGAGTTTGGTCCTTCAGAGGTTCAGATGTGTCTGGAGTTTCTTCCTTCCAGGGGGTTCATGGTCTTGCTGACTTCAGGAGTGAAGCCACAGACCTTCGCAGTGAGTGTTACAGCTCTTAAAGGTGGTGTACCTGGAGTTGTTTGTTCCTCCTGGTGGGTTCGTGGTCTTGCTGACTTTAGGAGTGAAGCTGCAGACCTTTGCGGTCAGTGTTACGGCTCATAAAGTTAGTGTGGACCCAAGGAGTGAGCAGCAGCAAGCTTTATTGCAAAAAGCAAGAGAACAAAGCTCCCACAGCATGGAAGGGGACCCCAACGGTTGACTACTGCTGCTGGCTAGGGTGGGGGGTGGGGCAGGGGCACCAGCTTTTATTCCCTTATTTGACCCCACCCACGTCCTGCTGATTGATCCATTTTATAGAGCACTGATTGGTCCGTTTTTACAGAGTGCTGATTGGGGCATTTACAAATCTTTAGCTAGACAGAGTGCTGATTGGTGCATTTACAAACCTTTAGCTAGACACAGAGCACTAATTGGTCCGTTTTTACAAAGTGCCGATTAGTGCATTTACAAACCTTCAGCTAGACAGAAAAGTTCTCCAAGTCCCCACTCAACCCAGGAAGTTCAGCTGGCTTTACCTCTCAATCCCCCTCTAAACAGGACACCCCAGCTGCTGTTGGGAATAGGGCGATAACTGCTCTAGCTACTTCCTGCTGCATAGGGGCAAAGAAAGTGCCCTGCAGTTGTAGTGTCCTCCAGAGGGGAACTCTCTAGGCCAGTGAAAGGGCCAGCAGGTCGGTCCAGGGGTCCTTGGTAGAAGTTGTTAGTTGAGCTCATTTGGGGTTTTGTTTGTAAGACCATCTGTAGCTTGATGGCCTCTATTCTAGAGGAAACAAATTTGACAAGGAGGTTAAAAATACAGGGCCCAACGGCGAGTAATAGTAATATGGCTGTCGCAGGACCTAGAAAGGGAAGAAGCCATGTTGCCCAACTCCAGAGGTTGGTATAAGAGTTTGAAAGGCATTGTCTGATTTCAGAAGCCTTTTCCTGTAAATGCCGGGCAGCATCTCACACTATCCCTGACTTGTTAGTGTAAAAGCAACACTCTTCCCCTAAGAAGGCGCAAAGTCCTCCTTTCTCAGCAGTGAGGAGGTCTAGGCCTTGGGGGTTTCGGAGAGTCACTGCTGCCAGAGTCTATGTGGGATTGCAGTTACTATCCTTACTGGATAGATTTTGTTATTTCTTACAAATTGTCTGAGAAATCCTTTGAGAGTGTGTGGTAGTAGGATAATGAGATAGATAAACTGGCTATTCTGGTTCCTGTAGCAGTGGCCATTTCTAACCCTATATACAACATTAGTTGTATGGCCCTGCGCTGAAGGACTTGAGCTTTGAGGGGCACTGATAGGGTCTGATTTCCATAAGATTAGAAGTTAGGATAATATATGTTACACTGTTAACTTTTAGCAAACTTTACTTTTGTTGAAAACCTTGTTAAGTTTGGGATTTCAAGTATTATTTGCTCTTAATAAGACCTCGTTCAGTCCATATTAACTTAAAATTGGTATAGATGGCTCCTTTCTGATTCTGTAAGTACTTTAAGGTGTGGCTAAGTGCAGACAGCTGGCATGTTTGAGCAGACCAATTGTTAGGCAATTTTCCTAACTCTGCTTCTGTAAGAGTTTCCTGATCACTTACTGAATACCCATTGTGTCTTTTTCCTTAATCGCCTGGGAGGAGACATCTATCATCCTGTCCTGAAGGGAGTTCCTCCTACGTCTGGTCAGACCTTCAGATTTAGATCCCCTGTTAGGAAACCTGCTGGGTTAAGGATTTTTGATAGGAAGGCTACGGGTTGTCAGTGGCCTCAGTGCTTTCAGGCTATGCCCTTGTTTACACTGACAACAAGGTGGTATTGGAGTGTTATAGGGTTACAGAGAAGATCTTCAATGATCAATTATAGGTTTTATATTTTTACTTTTTTTTTGGAGTCAGAGTCTTGCCAGTCACCCAGGCTGGAGTGCAGTGGCGCAGTCTAGGCTCACTGCAACTTCTGCCTCCTGGGTTCAAGCAATTCTTCTGCCTCAGCCTCCCAAGTAGCTGGAATTACAGGCGCACACCACCACCCCCAGCTAATTTTTGTATTTTTAGTAGAGATGGGGTTTCACCATGTTGGCCAAGTTGATCTCAAACTCCTGACCTCGTGATCCATCAGCCTTGGCCTCCCAAAATGCTGGCATTACAGGTGTGAATTATAGGTTTTAAATTTACCCTGGCTTTTAAAGGAATAGGGTACACTGTTATTTCTTTACTACTTCTCTTTCTCTCTGACTCCTTTGTCTCTTCCTCTCTTTCCTTCCGTCTTTGACTTTGTCTCTCTCTTTCTCTCTGCTGCTCTTTTCCTGCCTCTGCCAGCTGCTTATGCTGCTATTCTCCCCTCTCCTTCCCCTTTTTGATGGCTTCGGCAGTGTAAGACTGCCACCTCCTTGGGTTTTTGCACTGAGTGCAATAACTCCATGATTTCCTCGTGGTATTTAATGGAGGTTCCCCCAGACGTTAGGAACTCCCTTTCTTTCCATATTGCAGCATGGCCATGTAGGATTAGATAAGCATACTTGCTATCTGTATACACATTTATCCTTTTTCCCTTTCCCAGTTCTAAGGCTCAGTTAAGTGCCACTAGTTCTGCTAACTGGGCGCTGGTCCCTGAGGGGAAGAGGCTTACTTTCAAGTACGGTTACATCACTAACTATGGCATAACCTGCCCTTTGTATCCCATTTTCCACAGATGAACTTCCATCGGTATATAGGCTAAGGTCTGGATTAGCTAAGGGGACTTCTAAGAGATCCTCTTGGGCGGCATAAGTCTGGACTACAACCTGTTGGCAGCCACGCTCGACCAGCTCCCCATCCTCTGGGAGCAAAGCGGCAGGGCTGAGGGCCACACACATACGCACTTGAAGCACCAGTCCCTCAAGGAGCAGTGCCTGGTATCTAAGCAGGCAGTTGTCTGATACCCATAAACTTCCTTTGGCACCTAGTGTGCCATTTACATAATGAGTAGTCCAGATAGCGAGATCCTTTCCTTATATTATTGTGATAGCCTCTGACACTAAGACAGCCACTGCCACAGCTACCTGTAAACAGTGACGCTAGCCTTTTGCTACTATATCAGTTTCCTTACTTAGGTATGCCACTGGCTGTGGGGTTGTCCCACGAGTCTGAGTAAGGACCCCAAGAGCTATTCCTGCTCTCTCTGTGACGTTTAAAGAAAAGTTTCGTCCTGTGGGAAGGCTTAAGGCTGGAGCTTGAGTTTGTTCCTTCCAATGCCCAGATTTCAGGGTCGATTCCCTGCTCAGGCAGGGGACAAGTGGTTAACTTGTTCCCCATATTCATGTAGATAATAGCTCCAGCTTCGGCTAATATATCCCTCCCTAATAAGGGTGTGGGACTTTCAGGCATAATAAGAAAGGCATGTGAAAAAGAGCAAAGTCTCCCAGTTACAACTGAGACTGAAACACCTGGTTACAGGCTGTCCCAGGATTCTTCGGATGGTAACAGACCTTGAGGACAGTCATCCAGGACAGGAGATTAACACTGAGAAGGCCCTGCCAGTGTCCAGGAGGAAGTCAATTTCCTGGCCCTCAATGGTTATACATAGCCAGGGCTCAGTGAAAGTGATGACATCAGCTGGTGCTTGCCCCAGGCACCCTCAGTCCTGTTGTTGCATCATCTGGTTGGCGGCTTCTGTCCCAGAGAACCTTTGTCCTCTGGGACAGTGTGCCTTCCAGTGATTGCCTCGGCATAGTGGACATGGGTGAGGGGGCAGCTTGTTTCTCATAGGACAATATTTTTTAAAAAAGTGTCCTTGGAAACCACACCGATAACAGGCCCTACCAGGTGATTGGCCTGCTCCATTTTCTGTCCTCTCTGAACCACCAAGGTTTGTTTTTCTGAGGGCCATGACTAAGGCTGTGGTCTTTCTCTGATCTCGCTTTTCCTTTTGGGCCTGTTCCTCTTGGTCCCTATTATAGAACACTGAGGTCGCCAGGTTTAATAATGCCTCCAGATTTTGTTCAGGGCCCAGGGCTCGCTTTTGGAGCTTTCTCCTGATATCTGTGGCTGATTGGGTAATAAATTTATCTTTTAGGATCAAATGACCATCAAATGAGTTGAGTGACAGAGGAGTATATTTTCTTAATGCCTCCCCTAGCCGCTCGAGGAAGGCAGAAGGATTTTCTTCCTTTCCCTGTGTTATGGTGGACATCATTGAATAATTCATGGGCTTCTTCCTAATTCTCCTTAGTCCTTCTAGAACACAGGTCAACAGATGTTTATGACTCCAGTCCCCATGATCTGAGTCAAGGTCCCAGTGGGGATCCATACTGGGGTCGGCTTGCTGACTGGTAGGGAATTTATCCCTTTCTTTGGCTGTCATTCTATCGTTTACTTGACTAAGATACCAGGT